GTGACTGAATTTTAGAATTTTTAAAGGACTTGTCCAAAGTTGCACAGCTAATGGGTGGTAGGCAAGATCTAGAACCCAGAACCTCTGCTTCCTGAAGCATTATGGGTGTATTAAAAAAATAAAAATTTTATGTCATTAAGCATTCATTATACCCACAATAAAAATTATCTACAAAACAGTATTTATTATAATATTATCTTTTTCCTACTCATCTATCGATACAGATATGCGTGAAAAATTCTGAAAGAACTTACACCGAAATACTAATAGTGGATGCATGGTTTTGTTTTGAGATCATGGATGATTTTGTATTTTGTGTGTTTTACTGTGTTTGCCATATTTTCTGCAGGTACGGCTTTTGTAATCAGAAAAAAAAATACAAAAACCATGTTATTAAAAAGACAGATAACAATACCAAAACTCCTACACCTCTTGAATGTGGGATGATGTCAAACCTTATTTTATTCACACTGCATTACATTTTCCAGGCATTTCTAGTTTAGTCTTCTGGAGCTCCCTTGTGCAGGTCCTTCCCAGTGTTCACCTTGTTTCTGCATTCAATTCTGTGTGTAAGGGTCAAATTTCCTCACATGTCTATATACGATTTCTATGAAGATTACTTAAATAGAGGTACTTTAAAAAAAGTTTGATAAATAATATATTCCTCGAGAGTCTATCTTTAGAAATAGTATTCCTAAGGGCCATTCATTCCAGTTTCAAAATCATGCAAATAATTTGGAGAATACCACTCTTTATATCAGCAAATTATTGTTATGCATTTTTATATTTCTATTTGTAACCAAGACTTCTTTCATTTCCAATTGCTATTCATTTTATATTAAAACATTCATAAGTCACATTTAGCATTTTTCTTTCCTATCCAAGTAATATTCTTTATCAAGAAGTGTTTAATAGTCATCCACTGAAAAATGCTCCCCTGAAAACTTGACCATACTGTCACTTAGGGTGATTTGATCAATTTTATAGATAATTTTATTACTTACTAAAATAGCTTATCATCTAAGTTTTAAGGCTTCTTTTCGAAAGTTCTGAGCCTGTTTCCTGAGCAGAGTTGTATAAGAGAGTTTAAAAGGCAAGGAAAAGTGTGTGAAATACTTGAAGAGCCTCTCTATGTGGCTGTCTATTGCACACCTGCACCTGCTGGCTTCTGATGCGTCTGTAGTCTGGTTTTGGTTGTGGCATTGGCTAAAAAAAGCCACTTCATGATAGATTCTATATAGACAGATGCCTGCAGAATGCATATAAATAGGTATATGGAAGTTTTCACCTGTTCAGATTGGGGGTGTGAGAATTAGTGCTTATTGAACATCTCACAGAGAAAGTATAAATGAATAGTTGTAAAAACTGAAGGCCACTCAGTTCTGGCTACTAGAGAGTATCAGACATCTGAATCAACGTAGGCTGTATGCTGAATAACCAGTAAAGAAACAAAACCACACCAGTTACTGTTGAGTCAGTTCTGACGCATAGTGACCCTTCGTGTGTCAGAATAGAACTGTCCTCCGTAGGGTTTCCAATGGCTGACTTTTCAGAAGTAGATTGCCAGGAATTTCTTCCAAGGCCCCTCTGAGAAGACTCAAACCTCCAAACTTGTGAGCAGTTGGGCATGTTAACAATTTGCACCACCCAAAGACTGAATGGCATGCAAGGGACAACATTTGGTTGGACAATTGGAAGTCCCAATACACTCTTCTCTGCCCTTCCACATTCTTCTTTTATTTGATTGCATATCCCACTCAGTTGAAAATGAGAGCATGGTGAAATATATTAGACATCACACAATTTAACTTTGACTTTCTTGGCCTCAGTTATAAAATAATGAGAATAATGATAACAGCAATAACAACAACAAACATTAATTGAAGATTCACACTGTGTTAGGTACTGCTCTAAGAGTTTGACATGTACTAATATCTTTTATAAATTACTTCCCCCATACAATTGTAAGAACTGAGGAAAAGAGCCCAGTCAAATCTTTATAATAACTGACCAATAATAGTGATTTCTCATAAAAGTTAGCTGTTTTGTTGTTTTTGTTATTGTGTTGTTGTTGCTAGCTGCATTGAGTCGGTCCCCTGACTCACGATGATCTCATGTCTTACAGAGTAGAAATTCATAAAGACTTCATACTGCAAAATGCTTCTTGCTTCAAATAAAACTCTAAAAGTCCTTTTTAACCATTGGTCTATAGGTGAAGTTCTAAGGCTTTGTAAATACCGCAGAATTACTCATAACCTTGTCTAGTGCTTGGTACATAGTAAGTGATCAACAAATATTTATTGGAATAGCTAATATCTTAATTGTATGGCTGTGCTCACAAATAGAGTTTTCATGGAACAGGAAATATACTTTTCTTCAGATATGCAAAATATTTCATGGTCTGAGAAATTAAGAAAACACTGCCTTAAAGGAAAATTTGTTACCATGTGAGTAGGGAAGTCATAATGAGAACAATGAGGAAGTGGAAAACAAAGATCTAAGGGAGCCTGGCTCCCCACCACAAGAAGGTTTGGAAAAGCACTGTGATGCTAGCCTCTGGGCTGGCAATTTAGGACTGCTCCTTCTCTCCACCAGGAAAATCCCATTTGTCCTCTGGAGCTATTTACATAAGACTTTGTGGGAATACTGGCTGAACATCTAGCTTTGAATGGGGTGATTCAGTGCCAGATAATTTAGTTCTGGTTTTGAAGGAATCATAGAACGCTAGCCCTGGAAACAGACTCATATATAATCTCTACAGGGTTTTCACATTTGTAGCAGATGCATCACCACTCCCCTTTCTGCACCCATGGAAGACATCTCAGATGGGGAGACAGGACTCTACTTCTGAGGCTTTTGAATCCTTGTTAACATAATACTTTATGCAACCATTAACAGTGGATTGAAATTAGCATGCATGGTGAAACCAGTTTCCCATTCCTATCATATGCCCAATATTCTCCTATTACAGTTGGGAAAACTAAGAGGATGTCTGTGGATTAGAACACAGTGAAGTGAGTGATATGAAGAGTTGTTATTCCAAATTACAAACATTTACATACCAAATATCATCTCCTCTGTCTCTGCTGTTATTTTTTCTTACAAAACAAAGTAGGAAACCCCTTTAAATTACCATTTACCTTCTTTCCACACAGCACTCTAGTGGTAGCTAAAAGCAGGGGCCTGGGTAAGTAAAAGAAATTATAAATTATTACTTTAATTATTATTCCATGATTTTTGAAACTTTAAACAATAATATGATTATGCAAAATCTTAGGCCTTAGGCTACTCTCTCTCATCTCTCAGCTTCTCGAAAAAGACAGCCTTCTGGGAAAGCCTTGTATGTAAATCTAAGGAACCTGCAGTTGCTACAACTGACTATAGATAAGTCACTGATCCTCTTTTAGCCTTAGTTTCCCCAACTATAATAGGAGGGTATTGAGCATTACATAGGAATGGAAAACTGGGTTCCTTGTGCATGGAAGAGAAATAATGGCTCGACTTTGAATAATCCAGTGTGGATGTGTATTTATTTTTCTGCACGTGTGTGTGTGTGTGAAGGGAAAACATATTTAAGGCAAAGGTGGGGATTGGTCCAGGGAAAGACATGGAATAAAGTGCATTTATACCATTTAAAACCATTAATTAAATAACATAGGCTCAGATTCAAAATTATTAAATATCCTTGTAATTCTATAAGTCAGAACTAGAACTTCCTACTACTTAATGGGAATATATAAGGTATGAGCCTTGTCACTCCAATTGATTGTACAGGAAAGAACTGAAGAAAATTGGAGATTTCAGCAGACCAGCAGAGATCAAATTTAAAGTTTGGCACAGGGTGCATTTTTTTCCGTTTGAAAAGAGTAAGGGTGGTCAAAAAGGGAGGATTGCCAAATACGTAGCTATCCCTCCCTCTGCATTCTGTATCACTTACTCTAAATAAACTGGCTTAAGTCCCATACTTTTCCTTTCTGCTGACCCTCCTCCCCTTGAAATGTAAAAGTTACAGATTCAAATTAGAAAATAAGCCAGCATTGTATGAGAACATATTTATTGGCTGAATAATAAAACTTAGCTAAAGAGTCATTAGAGACTTAGAATTCCCCCAACTTGAAGTACAAGTTTTCAATAATCAAACAGAAGCAAAACTCCCAAATGAGAAAGAGTACATTGGTGACCTAAATCACAGGCATGCGGGGGTGAAGTCAAAAATCTACTTCTTCGTAGTTGACTGCAGCACTGATGACAAAGCATGGCATACAATGAGAGACAAGCACATGAATGCTCTGCAGTAAGTCAGCACATCAATGTGAGTGTGTAACCAAGACAAAGCTTAGACTTCTTAAATGTGGCCACTTTAACTTACACACACCCACACAGACACCTCAGCAATGTCCCTCCAAAGCCTATTTACATACAGTTTCTAGCCAAATACACTTATAAAAACACAACTCAGAGACCGTGGTTAATAAATAAGTGAGAAAAGGAGAAGAAACAGGCAACTTCCATTGGCTGGCAGGCATGCAGAACAGCACCTTGGACCTCATTTGAGAAACGTACTTTGACAGTTTTCAGAGCACATCAAGAGAGAAGGCTGACATGAAAAGGAGCTGTGCACAATGCTGTTTCCAGATAGTCTCCAGGATGGGAAGTTTAATAAGTTCCTACCATATACACAGTATCCTTTTAGCTAAGGCTCAAACAGGTGTCTCTGCAGAGTAATAAAGTCCCCTTAGAAAGGCACAAGGCATTGCTTTACATTGTTCTTCCCAGGTGATAAATCAATAGCAATCACATAAATTATGTGCAAAAACCAAACCAAACCACTGAACGCTCACTTTTTCTTTCTTTTGTTTTAGATGACCTCAGATTCATTCTGCAAGTGCAAATCTTGACTATACAAACAAGTATAAGGGAAGTGTGAGCCCCCTCTTCCATTTCCCAGCCTCCACGATGGAGCTGGTTGAATTCCCTTTTCCTGGTAGTGTGCCCTTCCTCTACACTTTAAGATAGTCGTTTTTCAGCCGACCTAGCCGGGTCCCATGGCTCCTGATGGTGAGGGCCAGCAGCTCATACTTGTCCCTGAGCCCCACAGAGATGGCCATCGTCTCCTTCAGCAGGGATCTGGTGTGGACCAGCATCCCCAGGAAGTCCTCATTGAGCCTATTCTCGTGCCGGCTGTCCTGCTCCTGGCCCTGCTTGAACTTGCTTTCAAGTTCAGTGAGGGATTTGTCCGAGTTGGAGTAAGCATCCCCGATCTGGTGGGACTCCCGCCGCAGGTACTTGCCATAGCTTTCTTCCCCGTCCAGGTCATAAGAGATGCTTTTACTGATGCCCTCAAGGACGCGCCCAGCATCCTCTACCTGGCGGCCCAGCACAGTGAACTCCTCCCTCAGGGTGAGGCTCAGCAGGCTGCTGGCCTGGCTCCTCTCCCCCTGGGAGCAACGCCGGTGGTCACTCACCCTGAAGAGCAGCTGGCACTTCTCAGGGTCATCGTTCTCCTCATAGTCTCCGTCGGGCACAAAGTAGTGGTGCAGGGTCCCATTGGACATCTCCGGGTAGAGAGGGCCATCAAAGTAACCCTGACACAGGTGGCAGAAGAAACTCATCCAGAGGAATTTCAGGAACACCATCCTGGATGTTTAGGATTACTGGGGACCCCAGGAGAAGATCTTTGGCCCAGGTGCAGGGAAGGGGGTCCCCTTGTGAGTCAGTGCCTCCCAGAGACAGAGTCCGCTTTAGCCCCAGCCTTCTTGCTGCACCCTGGTCCGCTCTCCCTAGAAGGCTTCATGTGGCTGTGGGCACCAGCACTTGGGTGGCACCGACGGCAGCGGCGCAGGATGCACCTTTACGCTGCGCTCTGGGACTAGAGTTCTGCTGGCTCTTCCCCCGGCGCACGGTTGGGAGGGGGAATCCCTCCACCAGGGCGCTGGCTCTCTGGCTGGACGTTCGCTGGGTTGCCCCACTCCCAGAGTTCCCTCTCGCTCCTGGGAGATGGAGCCTGTAGCTGGGGAGAATGGCTCCTGCCCTCTGATACTGTTTCAACTTCTGGACTGGGAATGCGCAGCTTTTCCTTTGGCTAATGATATTCAGAGGATCTCTCTGCTCTCAAATTACGGCTGATTTCGTCACTTGTAAGCCAGGGAACAAGTTTGGAAAGAAACCTCTGGCCAGGTCTCTGTTATTAAAGGTACAGGGTCTGTTTTTCAAGGCAGACCCTGAAAAGTAGAGTTTAGCTTGAAAAGGAAAAAGAGAAGATAAAAAGAATTTCCACAGCAAAACAGATTTAATTCTAACATTTGTGTACAGGGTAGGTAATTACTTTGCAGAAATGCCATTTCATTATTTGAAATAAATACCAAGCTGGATTTGTTCAATATGTCTTTTTTTATCTTTTAAATGTTTGTGACTTTGAAGGCAAATTTGAAGTGTAGGATAAGATTGTTTTTTTTTTTGGAAACGTTAGTTTATAAACAATACTTTGGAAGTAATAGGAATATAGAAAACTATTACATTTTGTTGCTAGCATGTATAAGTACATGCTAGAAAGGGATTTTTTTTTTTCTTATCCTAATAAGTAAAAACGCAACTGAGGTAATTGTTTAATTTTAGGAAAAACTGTCCATACTAAGTGTCTGCACTCCATTTTTACCTAATGCTTTTATGGATTTTGCCTCTTTTTTGGATTCTGACAAGTTTTGAACAATGCAGGGCTAGTACTCTTAGCCCCATTTTACAGATGGAGAAACCAAAGAGCAGAATGGTAAGCAAGTTGTTCATAGCCAAACAGACTGTGATGTAGCCAACATTCAGTTACAGAGTCTTTTAATTTAATTTGGAAATTAATTTCTTTCTCTTCCCTAACTCCTTTCCTGGCTAAAACTTACTCATCCTTCATATCTTAATTGTTGTTTCATTGCCTCTGAAAGTCATCTAAATCTTAAGTATTCTTCTCCACCTTTTATACCATGCTTTTCTTTTCCTTCAGGGTACTTTTCACAATTGACACCTTACTTTAATTTGTATTTTATATTTCCCTGAGCTTGTCTCTCCAGCTCTGTTTAAACTACATGAAGACAGGAGCTCTGTTTCCTTCTGTCTCCCTATATGTATATAGAACACTGCTTGGATCAGAGAAGGCACTACGTGCTTTTTTTTTTTTTGCCTTTTCCAGGTTAAGTTGGTCACATGTAATATAGTATTTTCATAATAAGGTTGGGTACTCAGTGTTTCAATAGTGCTTTTACTTTGTTATTTTATAATAGATGTTGCATTCTATTGGATTCTTTGTTAAATTGGTCTGTCCCCCCCCCCCATTAGATTGTGAGTTCCTCAAAGGTAGGGATGCATTTTATTTTCCTTTATATTCTCTATGATTAGCACAGAGCTCAAAATTTAACCACTCACCATCCTCCAAAACAGGAGCTCTGGTAGCATAGTGCCTAACACATTTGACTGCTAACCAGAAGGCTAGCGGTTCAAATTCACCAGCCACTCCTTGGAAGGAAGGTTGAGCAATCTACTTACGTAGGGGTACTGCCTCAGAAACCCAAGCGGGGCTTCCTGTGAGCCGGAAAGGACTCCATGGCAGTGAGTTTAGTGAGTTATCCCCCCAAACAAACAAACAGACAAAGAAAAATAAACCTGTTTCTGTTGACTCGGTCTGATTCACAGCGACCCTGTAGGACAGAGTAGAACTGCTCCATAGGGTTTCCAAGGCTGTACATTTTTACAGAAGCTGAATGCCACATCTCTGTCCCATGGAGTGGCTGGTGAGTTCAAACCACCAAGCTTTTGGTTAGGAGCTGAGCACTTAAACAACTGTCAAAATAAAACAGGGGTGAAATATTTGTTTGTTGTTGTGATACTTAAAATATAGAATTTAAGGAATTTGTGATTTCATTATAACCAGATAATCTGTCTATCTGAGCATATGTTTTTTTTCTGGCCAACAGTCAGTCAGTGACAGTCTCATACTTAATTTGGGTAATCCTGGCAGAAGGGAGGGGAAAGAGTCTCATTAATTCCAACATTCAAAATACCAAGAAGGGAGTTTCACTCAAAAGAGAGACTTTTGACCCCACCTAAATAAACTCTGCAAGAGTCTGTACATGGTCCTACAGCATCCTGGGCTGTAAGCTAGAGAAGTGTCAGACCACCTGGCAGGATCATTTGCTATTTGCCTAGTAAGAATTTTCACAGTTCTACAGTTGGAAGTGAACATTCTAGGGTTGGGTCCATCAGGTTTGGGGAAGAATCAGATTCTGTTTATTTCTCTTCCTAGAGCAAAGTATTATTGTTGCTCATCATTTTAATTCTCAGTTCTAATAAAATTGGATGAGAAGAGGCAGAAAGACAAAGTATGAAAGGGAACATATTCCAATCCCATTTCAATTCTGCAAGCACTTTGTTCAGTAACCACAATTGGAAAAGAAAGAAGAGCAGATGCATCTGTGCAATCTGTGGGGTAGAAGGCAAGTGGAGTAAAAAAGCCCACAAATTTATCAATTTCCATACTGCAGAAGCATCTAGCAAGGTTCATACAAGAAGTACCTGAAAAAACCATGAAGATTTAAGGGAGTGAAAGCTCTCATATGATTGGGAACAGCAATAGTGTCATGGACCTTGAACAATGGGCACAATTATCAATAAGCTGAGATGTTGGGTACTGGTCAATCATTCCATATTTTAGATCATGAATGGTTGATGGAGACCCCTGAGCTAGTAGGAAGCAAGGTTGGACTATCACTGTTTCTCATCTGGAGAAGGTACTCCTTCTCTGAGGGACATTCAGAAATGTGGGTGGGCATTTTTTGGGACATTTATTTTCTTTTTAAAATATTTATTGCAATTTGGGTGAAAGTTTACAAAGCAAATTCATTTTCCATACAGCCACACACTTTGTCTCATGACATTGACTATCCTTCCCACAATCCAACAGCTCTCTTTCCACTTCCTCCCTACAATTACCTCTTCCCTGTGTCCTTCCCTTCCATGCACCATTGCCCTTCGAGGTGTCTCATATACACAGCCCTTCTATTCTCCCATGATTGATCTCTCCAAGGAATGTATCTACCTAATGTAAATGTTCAGCTCATATGCCTGTCTTTTGTTTGACTTGAAGCCACAGGAATGGGTTCAGTTCCAGACCTGAATGGCACCTAGAGGCCATAGTCTCATTGGTTCCACAAAGCTCTATCAGATCAGCAAACCTGGTTCCCAGCACCCCCCCCCTTTTTTTTTATGATTTTGGGTTTTGTTCCACTTTGTTCTCACACTCTATTCAGGATCTCTTACATATATCCCCCTCCAAGTGGTTGGCAGTGATAGCAAGGTACCATATAGTTCTTCTGGTCTTATAGTCATATAGGCTGAGGATTGCATGGTATACAAGTCCCTTGGACTAATTGTTTCCATATGTCTTTAGTTTTCTTCATTCTTGTTTTCTCTGGACAAGGAGAGACTCATTGTTGCATCTAGATGGGCACTCGCAAGCTTTTAAGATCCCAATCACTACTCGCCAAAGTAGGATGTAGAACAATGTTTTCATGTAGTATGTTGTGCGAATTGAGTTTGATGTCCCCTGTGACCATGTTCATTTTGGGACATTTCTTGCCACAGTAACTTAAATTTCTCCAGTGGCATCCCATTGAACTTGAAATAAAACCCGAGGTCCCTTTCGTAGCTAAGAAGACCCTGCTTTATTTAACGTCTATTTTTCTCTTGGACCTCAACTTCTACTACTTTTCCCCTCGTTGACCACAAGAGTTAGCTTATTTCTACCTCATGGCTTTTGTACTCATGCTTTCTTCTACTTGAGATGTTTTTCTCATATCTTCACAAGATTCATGTCTTGTCATTCAGGCCTCAGCTCAAATATCATATTCTTAAAGAGGACTTTCACGACCATTCATCTAGTATTTACATCATCCACCCTCATTTTATCTTTTGCCTAGTGTTTACTCTCTGAAAATATTTATTTATGATTTTGTTGTCGTTGTTGTTAGGTGCTGTCACGTCACCTCCAACTCACAGTGACTCTATGTGCAACAGAACGAAACACTGCCCAGTCCTGTGCCAGACCCACAATCCTTGCTAGGCCTGAGCCCATCGTTGCAGCCACTGTATCAATCCATCTTGTTGAGGCCCTTCCCCTTTTTTTGTTGACTCTCCACTTTACCAAGCATGATATCCTTCTCTGGGGAATGGTCCCTTCTTACAACATGACCAAAGTAAGCGAGACAAAGTCTGGTCATTCATGCTTCCAAGGAGTATTCCAGCTGTACATCTTCCAGGACAGATTTGTTTGTTCTTTTGGCAGTCCATGGTGCTTTCAGCATTCTTAGCCAACTACAGCTCAAAAGCATCAACTCTTCTTCAGTCTTCCTTATTCATTGTCCAGCTCTCACATGCATATGAGGTGATTGAAAATACCATGGCTTGGGTCAAGGGCACCTTAGTCTTCAAGGAGACATCTTTGCTCTTCAGCACTATAAGGAGGTCTTTTGCAGCAGATTTGCCCAATGCAATATGTCATCTGATGTCTTGACTGTTGCTTCCATTGGTGTTGATTGTGGAACCAAATAATATGAAATCTTTAACAACTTCAATCTTTTCTTTATTATTGTGATGC